GTTTATCTTTTCATGTAATTTGCTCTCTCTCTAACACATAAAGATAAAGATAGAATCTTTGATCACAAACACCTTATTTATATATACATATAGGAAAAAACTAGGATTAGGCTCATATGAACATATGAGCCCAATCGTCAGATCGACCCACATTCAATCTGGGCCGTTGGGCTCATATGTTCATATGAGCTAGTAGGTTAATCCCAGTTTTTTTCACATATATATATATATATATAGGAAAAAGATGGGATTAGCCCAGTAGCTCATATGAACATATGAGCCTAACGGTTCAGATTGAATCTGGGCCGATCTGACGATCACAAATATCCGATAATGCTTGAAATTTCTTTTTTTTTCACAGATCCAAATCACTTAAAATTTTAAGTGTGTGCTCTTCTTATCAAGATGCACCTAATAAAAATATAAAAAATATTATCTGCGAAAAGAAAATGACCAAAATTCCGCCTAGAACATTTTGGGGGTATTTTGGTCAATTTTTTCATATAAAATATTTTTTTTGATATTTTTCGAAGATTCACCTATTTTTTATGGACACACGGTTAAATTTTCATGTTATTTGGATGTGTAGAAAAAAAACTAAAATTCAAACACTACCGGACATCTGTGATCAGCAGATCGGCCCAGATTCAATCTAAAACGTTGGGCTCATATATTCATATGAGCTAGTGAGCTAATCTCATATTTTCTCATATATATATATATATATATATGATTTGTCTAGAGTTAACGACCCCCCAAAATACAAAAGTTCAAGTTAGAAGGGGTTGTGATGGGTGTATTTATCAAAACAATCGTTAGTTTTTTATTAAAAATTTATTTAAATAGGTAAATTTACTATTAAGCAATGGTAAATTTGAAATTTTCATAAAAATACAATGACATTTTAGAAGTTAGTGTCCTATAACTTTATTGGTATAGTGTTATTGTACTTTAATTAAAATTTCAACTTTACCCCTTTATAGAGATGACAAATATAATAATATTTACAAAATTGCCCCACAAATAAACCTTTAACTTGAAGGGTTGTGAAGTTTAGATTATCGAAAACACACGTATAGTTATCAACTCCAATAACCCAATTGGTTGTGTTTATACATCTCCCTAATGTTAGGGAGTGCCTCTCCCTCATAGGAGCACCCAACATTAAAGTTAGGAAAACTAAATTTACAAGGGTCAATCCCAAGGAGATACAGGCACATGAATGAGCATAGTGGTTGGGTTGTGTAAGTAGCAGTCTTTCTTTTTAGGTATTTGGGCCTGTCACTGTGTGCATCAAAACCAACAAGAGAGGTATGGAAAGATTTCAATACAAGCTTGACTCCTAGAAAACCAGATTCCTATCTACTTAATGTAGATTAATCTTGGTGAATGCCAAGCTTCCCAGCTATCATATGTCCCTTATAAAAGCTAATGGGCAAATTACCAGAAAGTGGGAAGCTCTAATGAACAATTTCCTGTGGAGTGGATCAAATGAAAGGAAGAAATATGCCATTGTCGGTTGGAAAATTATTTGTTTACCTAAGAAAGAAGGTGGCCTGGGTATTAGACATCTAGCCAAGTTCAATGATGCTTTACTTACAAAATGATGATAGAGAATGGTAGACAATGAGGATAATCAATGGATGATGGTGCTAAGCGCCAAGTAAAGATCTAATCAAAAAATTGAGCCCAAACACCTCCTCCCCCTATGTATGGGGGGACATTGACAAACGCAGAAACATTTTCCTCTGTTATAGCAGAATGGCGATCGGAGATGGTGGCAATACACAATTTTGGCATACAAAGTGGTTAGGGAATGCTCCACTGAAAATACAGTTCCAGCAGCAAGAACAGTAGTGTCAGAGACTTAATCACAGGCGAAGCTCTAAACACTTGTTGGGAGATTACTTTGAGATACAAAAGAGTGAACGATCATGTTGCAAACTAGTTTGAGCAACGAACGAATGTACATGTGCAACTCTGTTAAGTCCGCATATGCTCTACTGAATGATGATCGATATTTCTTGCCATCTAATGTTGGTATGGAAGTTTAAGGTGCAATTGAGGGAGAGAATGTTCATGTGGCTTTCTGTCTACAATTGAAGCGTTACTACAAATGTAAATCTCATTTGCAAAGGGAACGATAAGACTGATTATCGCTTATTTTTACATTGCGCTCTCGCTATGCCACTGGATGTTAAGAAAATTTTGTTTGGGATGGGCTACTCCAAGGTCTCTTGTTGGGCAAGAAACTGGTCACTCTTCCGCCCGCTTCACCAAGCATGGTGCACGGTTATGGTGTATGGATGTGGTTACAACCATTTGACACATTTGGAAGGAAAGAAATTGAAGGAATATCCATGAACAGGTACAATTCAAGACTCTACAGCAGAAGAGAGATACTAGATGGTTTTCTCCTGCACAGGGACGGGTGAAAACCTTGATGGCAGCCCACCTTTTGCCTCTTCCTGACTCCTGATTTTTTGTCCTTCTTTGTATGTTTTCTTTTACCGCTTGTTATTTCTCTTCTTTCTCCCTTGTATACCACTCGTGAAACTTTATTATTGTTAACGAACTCTGTTAACAAGAAAAAAAAAAAACTCATAACTTCATCGGTGCCTAGTAGAGGCACACAGAAAGTTCCCTAACATTCTTTGTTTGTGTGTATGTGCTAGGTTTGGCGATAGTCAAAATCACCCTACCCAGGTTTTCATTAAAAAAGTTAAAAGTATTATAGTAAAAAGAGTTTCACTAAAAGATTAAAAGTATTATAGTAAAAAGAAAAGGGTTTTATTGTGGAGCAAAAAAGAAGCTAAAGGTAATCTCTATAAAAAATAATCAAGAAAGATATAATACCATCCTTTTTAGGGTCACCCTTTTGGAGGTTATGGGAAGGGATCTCTAAGATAGAGATAGGTCTCCAAGAGAGATCTGATCTCCAAAAAAGACGGTGTTCTTATGAGTTTTTGGTTAGTTAATTTTTACTTTGAAATAAAGAAAGTCAATTTTGGGTTGGTTTTCACTTTTAGAGAGAGAAAGCCTATCGGTTGCTCTGAATGTTATCTTTCCGATAGTTGTATTGCAACGCAAAAGAAGATATTGATCAGCCATGTTGTTCAATTGAGAAAGCATGTTCAGAAGGGAAGATCGGTAATGATTGTTTACCGATGTTTAGAGAGAGCTATATCTTTTGTAACCCAAAAATGTAATATTCATTGTGCTAATGGAATTCTAGTTGTTGAGGCCATAGATGTAACCCTACAGGGTGAAGAGCAAGTTTAGAATGGAAGATCGGTAATGGTTTTTTACCAATGTTTAGAGAGAGCTATATCTCTTGTAACCCAAAAATGTAATCTTCATTGTGCTAGTGGAATTCTAGTTGTCGAGGCCATAGATGTAACCCTCCAGGGTGAAGAGCAAGTTTAGAATGGAAGATAGGTAATGGTTTTTTACCAATGTTTAGAGAAAGCTATATCTCTTGTAACCTAAAAATGTAATCTTCATTGTGCTGGTAGAATTCTAGTTGCTGAAGCCGTAGATGTAGCCCTACATGGTAAACCACATAAATCACATGTTATTGTGGTGTACTTTTTTAATTTTACTTTATTTCTTACACTCGATTTATAAATGTATTCATCTATTTCGCATTTAGTCAATTATGTACACGATCTTAGGTGAGATGCCAATACTTAGGATTTCCGGTTCCGCAAATTAAGGGTTCCCGAGAATCCAACAATACCCTAATATCCATACAACAACATTACTTTTTTTGAGCGATAACAGCATTTCAACTTTGAATTTAATCTTTTGCTACGGCCCAAGTAAAGGGCAAAGAAGCATTCTTCCATTACTTCAAATCAAAGCCCTCAAGAAACAGAAAAAGGGCCTGGGTAGCTGTTTCTAAGTCAAAAGGGGTGTACTGATCAGGGATTAGCATTAATTTGACGTCTCAAATTTTTCGTTTATGAAAACAAACTAAATCTGTACAGTGCGGCAATATACCACACCACGAAACAAGAAACAAGGAAATCGTTATTGAGCCCAATCTCTCTTTCAAGAAAATGGTAGGCTCAATTGGGATCTCAATCCAGTCCGGTCAATCGTATGTACCAGTGACTTTGAGGTTTACAAAGGCCAATGTACATCAAAACCCATCATCATCATCATCATCATAATTAAAATCAACTATACAAATCCTAATCCGTTTTTTTTTCTCTATCAAATATCATTTAAAGTCAATTATTTAAAGTCAACTATACAAATCCTAATCCACTCTTTTGCTCCATCAAATATCCTACTTTCAATGAGGTTAGAGGCGCCAATAAACCCAAACGCAACCTAGGACCCACAAGGTAGACCCCATTTGTATCCAAATATTGGACATAACAAGTTGGGTCTGAGTCCAAATCTTGAAACCGAACACTATTCAAATCCATGTATAGGTCCTGATATGAGACCGATATTTATTTTATTTTTGGACAAATCAATATGGGAAACCGATCTGGACCAATTCTCCGAGGTGAGAATCACCCCAAAAAAAAAGAAAAAAATAAAACAAAATATAATAGAAACATGGGACCCGGGCAAATTCAGCCACTCCGGATTGCCGGTCCCCTAGATCGCTGATTCTCTCACAGGAACCAGCAATCTCGCATGGACTCAAACTAATTCCTGATACTTGGCCAACAGCAATTTGGTCCCCATCAATTCCCAGTCCAGAACAGCACTTTCAAATCCTAATCTCGGCGTTTTGAATCACAAGTGGACCCAAAACAAAAAACATATTGGCATCTAACAAGATGTTCAAAAAAAATGGCAAAGGGAACATAGATTTCCAAGATCCCAGGCCAATGAAAAGATGGTCTGTGAAACCAAATACCCCGCCCCTTCTCTGAATTCATGATTTAAATGTTAAACCATGGATACTTAAGGTCTGGATTATGCATCAAAGATTGGGAAAAGAAGTAACACAAGTGGAGAGAGCAATAAAAGACAATATATGAACAGGCTTCAAACACCCAAAACCTCTAGATATATCTCTCATTTGAAAATCACATTCCCCATCTAAAGGGATCAGCAATACACAAATATGCCAGGAAATATATGAAAACAGAGAAGGAAGAGAAAATATTGAAATACCCTTCACACCAACAAATACCTTGTCCTCAAATAGTGTTCCCTATGTGAGACCTCCAAATTAATTATTCTCTGAAACACAACTCCAGTGCCAGTTTCACGGCTATAAGGAAGAAGCAATCAAATACCAGAGAGAATTACAGCCCCAAAAGAGAACCAAAGTAGAAACACGCGTACTAAAGAACTAAAGGCCCTGGTCGATGAGGTAGTCACCAAGCCTCTCGACGATCATGTTGCATTGGCCTGGGGTCATGGGTTCATCATAGATGCCTAAGATCAAGGCCTGGTTGGTTTTCTTGACAGTAACACCACCTGATCCCTGTTGTACACATCCCAACAGTTTAAAAATAAGAGAGAGAGAGAGAAGGGGAAGGGTACAAAATAACTCATCATTATTAACAGATATTCATGCAGATACATGCATGAGAAACACATACAAATTTTATCTTTTTACCAAGCAGTATTTGGGGCATCAGCCCCCTCCTAAATCTATCTTGTGAGATCGATTTTGGATCTAAAATTCACAAGTCAGTGATCTCCACCATGGTAATTATAAATCTAAATAAAACCAAATATTGAACTTCAATGTATCTGAATTGTTCTGAATCTTTTTTTCTCTTTATACCATTTATTTTAATCTTTTTGTCTCTTTACACCATTCATTTTAATTCTTCAAAGATCATCAAATCTGCACTATTTCTGGAGCAGAATACAGATGAATCTAAGGCCGGAAAATATTCCCAGTGACTTCGGATGTGTTTCATACCCTACAAAAGCTTCCATTCATGGCCAAGGTGGATTCACACATTCAAGGACACAATAAACTTTCAGTAACAATAAGATAGTCATACCAAAATGTGTGAACAAATGACAGAGGCAAGTTCATTTTGAACATAATAACAGGAGCATATTGGTTATAAACAATCTACACAGGAGGGATCATGATGAGAGGGGAGCAAATTGGTTAAGGATCCAAAAAAGATATACAATTGTGACCACAAATCAAACTAATCATATAGAGAAGGGTAAAATATCTCCATATCCTCTATTTTTAAATTTCATTTCTTGATAAACCCAAAGTTTTAAAAAATATCTCCTAACCCTTGGCCACTTTAAACCTATTTTTTAACCTAAACAAATGTGAAAAAGACTTGTCTTTCTAAACCCAATACTTTCTCTCTCTTCATTTATAGACCCCAAACTTCTCTCTTCACTTATATACCATGGCTGCCTGCTATCGTTTTCCCCATTGCCCCTCTCTCTCTCCTTCAGTGGAGTTAAACCATTACGTCTCTTGATTTATCTCTTCACACTGGATTTGCAGACCACTCATTTACATTTCGCAGCATTTTAAACAGAACAAGAATCACTTATTCACCATTGAACCTGTGATTTTTGGGATTTATAAGCAATCCAACCCAGGATGAGTTTGATTTCAAGATTTGGGTGTCAATTCTCAAATCGGTTTTGCAGGAATGCTGGTAAGTTCACTCCCATGACTTCAAAGTGGGTAAGGTCTGATCAGGTCATGCATTATAGCAGTGCTCCATTAAAGGAAGAGAAAGACGAAGAAGAGGTGATAATAGCCCAGAGACGACTCCCAGCTGATTATGATCCAGAAAATTTTGACCCCACCGAGCATAGAGGCCCACCCACTGATCAGGTCATGCATTATAGCAGTGCTCCATTAAAGGAAGAGGAAGACGAAGAAGAGGTGATAATAGCCCAGAGACAACTCCCAGCTGATTATGATCCAGAAAATTTTGACCCCACCGAGCATAGAGGCCCACCCACTGATAGGGTTTTTAGGCTCGTTGATGAAATATCTGGTCTCACATTGTTTGAGGTTTCAGAGCTCTCTGAAATCATGATGAAAAAGCTTGGAATGAAAGAGATTTTAGGCTCGTTGATGAAATATCTGGTCTCACATTGCTTGAGGTTTCAGAGCTCTCTGAATCATGATGAAAAAGCTTCGAATGACAGAGATGCCAGTTATTGGCATGATGAAAGCTGGAATGGGTCTTCCTGCTATGCCTGATATGGGTTCAGGGAGTGCAGCCAAGGAAGAGGGGAAGAAGCCAGAAAAAACTGTTTTTGAATTGAGGCTTAAGAGCTATGAAGCTGCCTCGAAGATCAAGGTCATCAGAGAAGTTAGGTCATTTACTGATTTGGGCCTTAAAGAAGCTAAGCATTTGGTAGCGAAAATCCCTTTTGTTATCAAAAGAGGGGTTTCCAAGGAAGAGGCCGAACAGATTATCGAGAAATTGAAGGATTGTGGTGCAAAAGTTGTCATCGAATAAATTACATGGGTGCTGTTTCTATGTTTTCTCTGTATTTTTTGTTCTCTGCCCTAGTCTCAGTTGGTGATGGTGTCTATGTGAAGAGGAAAGAGAATGCAAGCTCTAATGGTGAGGATCCGAAGAGAGAGCAGTAGGAGAGAGAATGAGGGGAGAGAGATGGGAAACATGAAGAGAGAGAGCAGTGGGAGAGAGAATGAGGGGAGGGAGATGGCAAAGACAGAGAGGGAAAAGGGGTGCGGTGAGAGAGAGAGAAGTTTGAGACGATGCTTTTAGAAAAGATATGTCATTTTAGATTTGTTTGGCCTGAGAAAATAAGTTCAAATTAGCTCAAGGGGTTCGAAGAAATAAAATCTACAATTCTACACCTTAAGTCTATCGTGAAATGAAACTTAAAAATTGGAGGTATAGAGATATTTTTCCTATAGAGAAATATGAAGCATGGTTTATTTAAAGAAAGCATATCAGTTCAAGCCAAATTTCAGTCAATATTTTATCGAGTGAGAAATTGTCACCACAATTCACACATACATAATAAATTCCAGCATTTAAAGAATAAGAATCACAGTTAGGCAAGGCCAATGTTCTGTAAAGTGTGCTTTAAGGGCCCACTTCAGATTGGCCAGGTAATAGATGCCATTTAGCCACCTCCAGAGAAGCCTTTCAGGTTTTCCAAACAATGGAGAATGGAAAGTAATTGGGGGAAAAAAAAAGGAGCTGCTTACACTTCAAGCAACAATATTCACATTCATGGAATTTGTACAAATAAAATGAAACCAAATACTCTCCCAAACCCAAAAAACTCTTACGGATATTCACAATGCAGATTGAAGTAATATGATTTTCAATTAGAGAAGAATTAATATCACCCATACTGAATTGTAATGACAAAATAGGAAAAGTATACAAAGAGAGCATTTACTTTTGATACAAGGAGGGCACGAGCACACTCTTGTCCATCAGATTTCAAATCAAGTGGTTGTGAGTGTCATTTACTCGACTCAAGCCATCCAAATTAATATCTAATGGCTAGGACCAATTGTGGCCTCCATGTAATAAAGATAAATGGTCTCATTGTATACAAAACCGACAATATAAAGTATCAACTCTACACCATACGGCTCAATTAATGATCCATAACCATTACCAGTATACCCATTAGCAGCTAAGTTTTTTAGATTTTCATGCTATTGTTAACACTAATGAAAGCATCCGGAAAAGAAAGAAGCTGCTGGGTATATGGCCCAGTCATAATTGATGGAATAGAATTCTGTAAATTTTAATATGAGACTTTTAACTTTCGAACACTCCAAGAACCAGGGATCCCAAAATAAAATCCAACTAAAAAGGAATCAACAAATAATCAAAGAGACCAAAAAGAAAGAAGAAAAATCGAACATTCGAACATATTATGCACGTCTATATGTGCGTGTGTGTGTGAAGAGAGAGAGAGAGAGAGAGAGAGGAGCTCAAATGGGAGATTGAGAAGCATTTTGAAGTTGAGATATAATAAATTATATACAAATGCATTCCCAGCCTGGAAAACATGCATTCCCAGCCTAGCAGCTACTAATGTTTACGAATGATGACTGTAAAGTAACTCTTACTATAATTAAACACTGTTACTAATGTTTGTTAGAGAGACACAAACGGAGAAGATGATTCACCATCTCTTACTATTCAATAAAATAATAGCATGCAGCAATAACACTTCTTTCGTACATCAAGTCTACAACTACTAAGTTTTCACACTTTCTCCCCGCATCAAATCTACAAAGTTTAAGTGAACTAAACCAATATGATTCTTGTATTTTTAAATAAGAAAATTATGAATATAAATTTTTTTACATCTCAATGACAGCAGACAAGTTGGTAGAGTGCATCAAATACAATTATCTTTTTACTAATATTCAAATTAGACAGAATGCTTATCCGAGAAAACTTAACAAAACTAATATAGACTAATAAGTTAACTTGAGATGAATTCTCTTGTGACCCACAATCAATTAGAGTTCAGAATTTTCCAGACGAACAGTGAAGATGGGTGAGAAACCAATGTGGAAACCTAAGATGTTTCTCTTTCCACCCATCTTCAAGTTAGAGCGAGAAAGACTTTAAAGATACTAACAGTAAAAAATCAAATCGGAAACAGAAGGAAATCTTACCTTCTTTCCTCGGATAACTGCACCTGGCTCACCCTGAATAACCATATATTTTGTACTTCCAAGGTATAGGCCAGTAGGGGCAAGGGATCCAGGTTCATTGAAGTCATTCATGATGCCATTGATCTCATCAGGTTTAAACTATAATCAAATAGAAAAAGATAAATGAGAAATATATATCAAACAACATAAACAGGGAAAAAAAAAAATTAGCCAATGTAACCATAAGAACAAGGCCACTTTTAATAGAATCCATAAATGATGTTCTCTATTGATCAAACAATTCAAAAAAAAAAAATTTAATAATCTTCTATTTAATACAAATGTTAACCTTTTCCTCAAAAAAAAAAAAACAATTCAAAAAATGGGAAACGAACCTTACCACTTTATATCAAGCAAAAAACCCAGTAGACCCAAACTGATCTTCACTAGTTCAAACTGAAAACTAAGATCTAATCAAGTAATGCATTGAGCAGGTTGACAAAGATATAGAGGATCAAAATTTGGATGATCAGAGAGAGAGAGAGTTTGCATCAAAACAAGACTTCAACCACATCCCATCAGATCCATCAAATATCACTACAAACTCTCAGAATATCAGATAAACTAAGAATAAAGCATCAGTTAAAAAACCACAGTAGATTGCTCATGAACTCAAATTTGCAAATTTAACAGAAAATCTTTTTAAAAACAACAACAATGTCAAGTTCACACCCATATCAAGCTATTCAACATCCAGAAAATAAATAAAAATGGAAAGGTTAGAAAAATGCGGTCTTCACAAGGGGTAAAAAAGGGAATAGATAGACAATAAAACTGCAACCAATATCAAATCAAGAAATTGGACAAAAATAAACACCAAAATGCAACCAAGATCAAATCAAGAAATTGGCAAAATAGACACTAAACTGCAACCAAGATCAAATCAAAAAATTGGTAAAATAACTACTAAACTGCAACCAATATCAAATCAAAATTCCGTGGAAAAATAGCAATAACAAAAAATCAGATCACAGGTCATAAAACTAATAATCAAATAAAACACCACCTCATATTAATCCCATCAAATATACATAGATCGAACAGGATCTTCCCCATGGATAATCATAACAGTAGTTATTACAGATCGGATTCAAAAGCAAAAGAGAAAAGGAAAACACATCTGAAACAGATTCAATCGAAACCAGAAAGGGGGAAGAGAGAAAGGAATACCTGAGGGAAGTTATCGCTCTGAGCCCAGACGCTGCCATCTTGGCCGATGATGGCAGCTGCCGAGAGGCGCTGGCCGTCGATCTCACACATCAAGTGCTCATCAACGTACGCCTGCCACGACATCTTTACAACTCTCACTCTCTCTCTCTCTCTAGAAGTTCTTCAAAGTTTAGCCCCTGCAAGCCAGTGAAGGCAAGAAATGGAACACTATTCCGCCTTTACTCACCACCCAATCAGCCGGATTTCGTAAAGGCCCCTCACATCCGCCGCTATTTAAACCAGTGGTGAAATAGCTTGATACCGAAACTACCCCTGACACCCGTTAGACTTATCGAGTTTCTCCCCTCCTTTATGTGGCCTCTTTTCATTTCGAATTTTCGAGAACTCCCAATCAAAATGACTAAAATGCTACTGTAACTCCCAACGGGCAAGAGCTCGCGAAGGACCGAAGAGACCCGGCTCTACTGTTTATAGGGCCGGCTCCGACTGAGCTAAAGATGCTTTAGCCCAAGCCCTATCAGAGACAGCCCAGGTCGGGCCAAGCTCAACCCGCCATAGGCCAGGCCTGGCCAGACCCTAACTTAGGGCCATAGTTGCTTGGCCTTGGCCGAGCCCTCATAGCACATTTTGTGGCCCAAGCCCTAGTTCTTTAGGGCCAAGTTCACCAGCTCAGGCCACTCGAATCATTCCCACCCCTACAATTCAAGCCAACCAGTCCTAATAGAGCCTTGTTCCCTTGAAGGCAAACCAGGGCCTGGTGCAGACCGCGCCAAAGAGGACCTGACCATGGCCCGGCCCAAGCCCTATCCTAGCCATCAGGGCCCTCTGTCCAATCCCGGCCCAGCACTTAGACCAGGAACCGGGCCGCGCCACTAGCCTACATTGCCATTTCTCTGTTTCATTTGTCACGTAAACGTCACTTTCCTTTCTCTTTTTTAACATAAACGCTGTTTTGATAGACTGATTTTATGCTCTTGCACGAACAAAATGCTTGTTTGCTACCTCAGGCGAAAACTATGCTTGGTATATTTTTAAGACCCCAAATTTTGAAAATGTATCTTGTGACTAATTCCAAAAAACGGGTTAATTCAACCACATACTCTATCAGCCTAAAAAAATTTGTCATCCAATTTCAAACCGCATGATCTAAGTGTTAATAGCTCAAAATCCATTTACCGTTGGTACAAAGTAATCACATTAATATTGACAGTTGGATGTGAAATTGAGTGGTGGCAATTATTCCATCGATCAAGGTCAAACTTCAAATAAAATTTTTTCGAACTTTGTGACATATCCAACCTATCAAATTTCACATCAGACCACCTTGTATCAAAGTAAATGGCCTCATTCTATACGGTTCCTTTTCTTAAAACAATAGACTACATTTAAAAGGAAAAGTACACAATGAGACTATTTACCTTTGGTACAATATGATCACAACTAATCTTGACCATTGGATGTGAAGTTTAGTGGTTGCATTTATTCCTTTGACCAAATTTAAATATCAAAATAAATTTTCTCAAACTTTGGGACAAACCCAATCTATCAAAATTCACATGGAATAGTTGTAAGTAAATGTGACATCTTTGGATCAAAAGTAAATGGTCTCATTATGTACAATCCCAAATGTTGTCCAATATATTTTCTACATGAGGGAGTAAATGATCTGAAAAGGGCATACTATTTGCTTTACTTATTTTTAAAATAATTTTTATTATAAAGCCAAAAAATGAAAAAATAAGCAAAACCTATTTATTTTGTAAATAATAATTGAGGTTATATTCGACTATATCTCACTTTCCTTATAGGATTCTTTCTTTTACCATTCTCTTCAATTGTTTAGCGCTGGTTTGGGCACCTAGAGAAGCCTATCTTGGGAGCAGGCTTCTTCTAGAATTGGTTTGTCCCTGGATAGGGGTGTTTGCCGTTTGGATATTATTTAAGAAGAAACATGGGATATGCATGTCCACTGTTTGGATTGCCTGGAAGATGTAAATCCATAGATATTCAATTGTAGTTTTTATATTATTACTCTATATTTATTTTATAGGGATTAACTTCTCCTATTGATTCCAAACTTCAATATTATTTATTAACTACAACAATTAATATATTATTTTATGTTATACTATAGTATCTAACATTAGAAAAAATATATAATATCATAATATAGAATATATAATATTATATAATATAATACAATATAATATAAATGTATAATAATATTACATATATATATAATAGAATTTGTATTATATTATATTTTATTATATGTCATAAATTAATATCTACTTTATGAGTAATGATCTTATAGGACCCTCCCCCACCCATGTGTGTAGAACTCCAAAGAATCATCAATAAAGTTGGCACAGATCTCTAAAAAAGTTATCACATGGGTTGGCACAGATCTTTAAAAAAGTTATCACCTGGGTGTAGGACTTAACTTTTATAGATCCGTACCAAATTTAATGGTGATCTTTTGGGATCCTACATATTGGTGGGGGAGAGTGCTATATGATCATTTCTCTTT